TAATAAACACTGGCTACTTGTCTTTTAAATGCCACTTTTAGAGGAAATTAGATGCGAATGTTGAAGAATGACTTTGTGCCACCCCCAGAACATGGAAGATTTAGGACTCTTGCGCATGCCTCAGGAGGACCAAAACTCTTTGTACAAATAGTTCCACATTCAGTAATTCTAACTGAGCACGTTTATTTGAGCCTGCATTGTTGAAGACTAGGATTATATCACTAATAACATATTCTTTTAAAATAATAAAAATAAAAACAACAACAAAAAAAGAAGCGTTGCCTCATTTCTTTCGCAGAAGATTGAAATAACATTGTTAAATACACAGCAGATTTTTTTTTTTTTTGAAAATTGGCTTCCTGTCCCTTTCTTAGGTGCCTAAATAGCTGAAAAGTACAATTCAGGCTGATGTCAAGCTGTAAATACTGATGAAGCTGAACTTGGCAGCTGGTTACGTTGCAAGTTGGTGTTTACAATTGTAATTTAGAATTACCTGCTTTACAACTTAGTATTTATTTTTTTCTTTGACAATGATAGTGTCAAGATCTGAAACTTTTCTGCATATATATGTATATATATGTATATTTATAGAAATCATGTTGGTAGGAAGCCAAATAAAATGCCTTTGTGTAAAACCAAAATCTCAGTTATTAATGATTAGAAATGTGTTAAGTACGGCACCTTCATTTGGAAAATTTCAAGATGTAAACTAGCAAAGACTAAAATAAATGTAAAATAAAAGCAAATTGTGACTTACTAGTCATTCTCAACACGTGCACGCAGCCCGGCCCTCCTCCTGGCCCTGCCTCAGCCCACCGTGGTGATAAATGTCTGCCCAAAGCAGCGCTGCGGGGTGGAGTGTTAAGCTCTAGCGCCTTCTGCGCGCACCAGCTATGCAAAGATGCGTTTTGTGTTTGTGTATCATGACTGCTGTTGGAGTTAGCACCAGAACTGTGTTAGTGTCAGCTTCTTAGTGTGAAAGGATTAAAAAACAAAACAAAAAGTTTAATAAACTTACAGAAACTTCTATACTTTCCTAATGGTAAGGCAGGAAGATGGTAAGAACTAAAGGGTTAGGTGCAGTATCTTCCAATCCCCATGCTGTGTTTGAATGATTTCTGTAGCGCTGTCTTTAAATAACCCCTGTAACTGCTGAAGTTCCCATTTCAATGTGCCAATGGATAGATAAGCCACCCTTCTTCCCCAGGGCGCATGCCTGCTTGCAGCCTTATCAGTTTTAATTTTGTTTCTGCTGCTGTTTTTGATAACCATGGTGGTGCGTAGGTCTTGATGGCTGTTACTTCTGGATGAAAAGGAAACCCTCGATCCTGAGTTGTCTGTCTTTCATGGTATAAATAACCTGGTGGGATGATTCTGTTGGGATTATCAGCAGTAGAGAAGTTATCTATAGCTTTCAGGTTTACAGTTGAGCTGTCAAGAAGTAGGTTTCTCGTACTAACGTTTAGTTTAAGATGGACAAAAGGGTTTAAAGTCTCTGGTCTAGCGGAACACCTCTTGTTCCCTTCACCTCCCCGCTCTGACGTTGAATTCCTCTGTGTTCTGAAGACTCATTTTGCAGCTTTCCTGAAATAAAGCCTCGCTGCTGCTGTACTGGTTTTGCTTCAGCGGCGCTGCAGCTTTGGGAATGCTGGTGTAAATGGCTTGCTGGCACTTGGAGTTGACTGCATCCCCGTTTTTGCCACCAGAGCATCGTTAAATTACATGATAGTTGTAATACTCATGGTAATGGCTGCTTGTGTGCCATTAGGATTCCGAGCATTGCTCCCATTATCAAGCAGAAAGCAGTATTAGCAGTGTAAAACAGCCGCCTTTTGTGCCTGTAGAGCATTAGTTTGCAATACCTAAGAGAACAGAAGATGAACAATTGAAAGGAATGAGTTTTGATAGTGATAGTTTGTTTCTGACTTACCTCAAAATTTTCTTTCATTGCATTAGCTGAGTAAAACCAGTGTAGCGCAGAAAAAGCAGCCCGTATTCAAAGCTCATCCTTTTTTATTTCCTAGGTGCCTCAGTCATCACTGAAATTTACAGTGCTGCTGACTATCCAGTGTGTGTTGGAGAGGGGATAGGGAAAAGGGGAGTTTCCCTGCTCCACAGAGCTTACAGTCAAAGACGAGAAAGAAATAAACACGGGGTGTGATTCCAGAAGATGCTGAGATGCTGAAAGAGTGCTCCCAACAACCTCAGTTTTGATAGCTTTCCATAAGCACTGTGTTAGAGTGTAAAAGGACTCAAAGAGGTAAAAGTAGAAAGAGTTTTGGGATGTGCACACATGGACACACACACGTTATGTATAAAATGTGTGTGTGTGCTTCAGCCACGCTGAAGAGGCAGTGGGACAAAGCACAGAGGGGTTTGGGAGACTTAACCAGTGGGCAGCCTCAGGCTGCTGGGAGTTGGTTTTAACCTTGATTACAATTGAGAAGTGATGTGTAGTGCAGGATGGTGCCGAGGCAGACTAGAAACAAATAACTCTCACGTTCACTGTTACCTTTTTAATGGATTCTTTAGCAAAATAAGCAGGAGCAGGAAAAAAGTGAACTTCGGTGCTTCTTGTGCATTAGAAAGTGGCAAAAAGGTAAACAAAGCATTTTTAAAAAATGCGCTTTCAATATTTTTTTTTTCCCTTAGTGGGAGGAGGAATACTTGGCATCTTACACGTTGTTTATGTGAATGTTTTGGAACACTGGGGAGGTGGCAATGCAATGTTCTGTCTTCAGTTCATTTTTCAAGGTTGTTTTCAGATTAGAGAGCTAGACACGGGATTTCTAAGTAGGAAGTCTGACCGAAGAACGTTTTTGTGTAGCCCAGGTCTGCCTTTCTTTACCATCCTCCTGCTTTTGAAATGGATGTGGATGATCTGGTATCCATGTGATGGAGCGAACAAAAGTTTTGTTCATTTTTTAAATTACACAGATGTGGTTTAAGAAATATTACTAGTTTCTCAGAAAAAGTCCAATGACTGGAATTTGAAAGAAGTATCCTTTTGCACTTGTTTCCCATCTCCTCCTTAACATTGATGTAGAGCCATTCTTTAATTGGAAAAGAAAGGGTTTCCTGAGCAACTCGCTTTGTGTAGATGTCTATGTGGAGGAGAAAGAGGAGAAAAAAAAAAAGATATCTTCAAGTGTTCTGCTTTATGAAGTGGTTTTGCTAGTTCATGTTTGTGCTGTTGAGTTGTTGATTAAAAAAAAAAAAAGGACTTAAGTGCTATGATTTGAGGCTTGTGTGTTGTACATACAGGTTAATGACAATTTTTGTCAAGTCCTTCTAACGTTCCCTTAGTAGAGCAGTATATACATGATATCTGTTCCGAATTACAGTGCGATATGCACAGCCGCTTCCAACAAGGTGACTGTGTTAACAGGTGGGCTATTTTCCATGCAGTAGAGAAATCTTCGATACAAGTTAATAATGAACAACATATGAAGTTGAACAGCCAACACTGAATTAAACATGGACCTTTTGCAATGCGTCCTGTTCTGCTGTAGGACACCGTGGTGATTCTGTGGAGCACCCAACTGCCCTTGCTGAACGCTGTTCTCTGGGTTTTTTTAACAAGAAGCAGAGGATTTCTGCTTTTCCATTTTATGTTCTTAGCACTTTTTTCCTTGAAGTATGTCTTTTGGGTTTCCTTCCACCTACGGCAGAAAGGTGGTTCTAAACACGGTGAAACAGTGCAGTGGTTCAGTGTCTTGGGCACCAATGACCTCTCTCCTTCTCCTGTCTCGTTGCTCCTCACTGATGGCATTTCCCTGCTTAGTCTTGCAAAATCTAATAAAGTGGAGAAGGACTGCCACAGCGAAACGTGGGTTGTCCAGAATAATTTTTATAGTAAATTATGACAGCGTGCTGTAGGTGGAGGAGAAAAATAAAGTATTTTTTGTGTTGTTTTGAAGTTGCGAATGACTTCAGGCCAACTTGCCAATTACCTACTTGGCTACGTGAAGGTTTGGGGCATTTACGTCAGCTTGCTTTTGTCAGGTGATTTTAGACAGCTTGAGGCCTTTTTAGCAGAGAGTGTGCTTTTGGTTGCTTTATCAGAATCATTGCAGTATGTAAATTGGAACCGAGTTTTAAGCTAAAATTTTGTGCTGTCAGACAGCTAGCCATTTAGCAAGGGGGTAGTTAAATTGCAGTGGCAGCAGAGACCCCCTTTTCGTCTCCAAGCGTCCTGTTGTTGCCAGTCAGAAATGGAGTGAATGCAAATCTTGCCCAGAAAGCTCTCAGTTAATGCCAGAAGCTCCGAAAAAATGCCTCAGTTTATGGCAGCTCGACCAGCGACGGGAACAGTTTGTCACCACACGGCGCTGCGCATTGAGCACGAGCGGTCGCCAACAGCATGACACAGTGAATTCAGAAACGTGCCACCTGTTGGGTACCTTCACAATTAACTTTTTTTTTTTTTAATTTTTAATGGTGCCTAAGTAATAGCAACTGGAATTCAGATTTTCCTGTTCTTAACTTGGATGTATAGTGAGTGGTAAACCAACGGGTTTGGACCCTTGCGCAGTCCTGCAAGTCAGTTATATTTTGCAAAACCAAAATTGAGGGCTTTTCTAGCTGTGGTCAACACCGGATAGTGGGTTCTGAATGATTTGAATGTGTTGAGTGTTAGCCAGTTCAGCGATGCTCATGTGTCATTATTCTTTCCAAATAGGATTACATACCCAACAATTGCTAATGGGATTCATTTTTATACGTAATTACTACTCAGGAGTCCTCGTAGAATTACATAACCACTTTCCTTGAGCGCGCCTGTGTGCGTTATCTTGGTTCTTACACAATAAACCAGTTTCACCCCTTTACTCCGTTGTAAATAGAAATTAAATTTTTAGAATTTCCCCCCGTACTGTGGTATCTCGCAGCCGGTAGGAACTTCGATCACACATGTCACCAGGGTTCTCCAGATTTGGATGGGAGGTTGTGGGAAAAGTTGGAAGAAAACTTATTTCTGATTGTAACCTTGCTCCTTTCAGTTCTGTGCAGCTGGAATACTGCGGTGTTCCTACAGAGGCAGCTTATGTGAGGTGACCAGAAAGGAGGCACTTGCTGTAAGTAATGAACTTGGCATGGAAATGGGGGAAAAACGCAACACCCTAAACAAACACTTGAGATATCCTGACACAGGATATTCAGCTGCTTCATAGGTTTCCTAACCCAGCTAAGCAAAGTGCTGCTCTTGGCTCGATTAGAACCAGAAGTGCGTACAGAACAGTTCGGGGGTTATGCTGCATGGATGCAGTTGTGGTCTGCCAGGGCAGGGCTTACTTTATGTAAGCCACCAGCAGGTAGGTTGAGTGATTTGTTTCTGTTACTGCAAGGTAACACAAACTGAATCAGATTTCTCAGTGCATCTGGATATTGAATGACCAAGTGTTGTAGTTAAGTGGTTAGTGCTTGGTTAGGACCTGGCACAGTTTTTGGTGGTCAGGGGGAGTTCCTTTTCTCACTTTGTTGTCAGCAGTGCCTAAATTGTAGGTGGGCTTTCTTGTTTCCTTTCATTTTTGGTTCCTCTCCCCTCTTGCTTGAGCAGTTGGTGGCTACGTAATCAAACTGCGCCTTCTTTCCTTTAAAATTTTTTTCCTTTGCAGTCTGGGCAAGCATGTTGACACATCTTAAAACCCTGGCTGGTCAAAATAGATGCTCAGTCTGAAGACTTGCGTTAGGAGGTGCATCGACAATATTTAAATACTGTTCTGACTATGGTGGATGCTGGGATTCTCTTCGCTGTAACATCTTTGCAGTCCTGCTCAGCTACATGTCATGTTCCATTACCCAGCCTGTTTTCAGTGGATTCTAGTCTTTTGAACTACTTTGACTTTGCTAATTGACTTTGTTATTGCTCTAGAAACGTAATCCTAAATTTATCAGAGTAATAGAAGGAGAATGATCAGTCTTCTGTTGTCTTCTGTCTGTTAAAGTGAAATAGATACTCACTAGAGGCCTTTTTCTGTTAGTGGTAGGAATCCATACTCCTCATGAACGAGAGTCTGTGATGAGGTAGGACAGGTTATTGGCATAATTAGTAGCAGTTCTCTCTCTTCCCATCGAGACATTAGTGGTCCAAAAGCATGTGGTGGTTTGGCTGGAATTTTAAATGCTTTTGCTAGATAGTAATGCTGCGGTATTTCCATGTCCATCCTGTGGCAAGCCCTTCTGGAAAAAAAAGCTGTTATTTGGATAGCTTCTGCAGTGTTTCGTATCCCCCAACTTCAGATGCTTTGCTGTCAGCAGTGGCACAGACGTGAGGCTTGCCTTTTGGCTGATACCCTCGTTGGTGGGGGTGGATGTCGGATACGGTTCTTGAACCTGCTAGGTCAACGGCAAGCAGCCTTCGGCTACACCTGTTAGGTATTTTGTACTTGACTGCACGGATAAATAACAGTGTTTTACGTGGCATTGCTGGATATTTCTGAGATGTTTCCGAGAGATGGGTGGCAATTTCCCATTCAGTCAAGGAATTCAGTTTTCCCTTCTTTTCTGAAGTGCTTGGAAATTAATAGGGAAAGCTGAAAACTCAAAGATAACAGAGCGGGCTGCTCTCACCTCTGCGTATTACTTTCATTGTATGTCAGTAGTAAAAGTATTTCCTTAATCTCTACTGTCCAGTGAAGCCAGGTAAATGCAGCTTGCTTTACTTAGCAAACTGGGATGAAAGCAGTGTTTATTCACTGAAGGAAATGTTAAGAAGTGGTAAATGTTACAGCTTCTTATTCCAGCGTGTGCATTCACTTACTGCAAACTTAATCAAGAGTTTGACTTTTGTTAGTCTTCTGTCTCCAGAGCCTTACTTTGTAACAATAATTTAAAATGCCTTATTAATGTACTTAATAGTTTTCCAAGTGCAAATGTACATTTTGGAGTGGTTGAGAAGACAGCATGTTGCACTTGTGCTTCCATACTGCTTTGCATGTTCATTTCTGGCTGGAAAGCCATCATTTCAGTTCTGTACCTACAGATAGCTAACAGTTCAAAACAGTTAAAACAGTTCAAAACTGTTGTGAAAAGGATAAAATGATAATAATGAGGAAATTATAACGTGCTGCCAAAAATAACATTTTCAGCAGCTATGAAGTTGTAGTGCTTAGTTTAAATGATAACATTTGTTTTAGGAGGTATTTCCATTATATTGCCATTATATTATGATGAGAAATCATTAGCTTTTTGTTTCTTTTTTTTTTTTCTTCCTTCTCCCCTCTATTCCCCCGGTGCTTCCAGTGGCGAGGTTTCTACAAACTGGTAACCACAGTAAATCCTTGGAGGAGGAATTTCCTGTTCAATATCAGTTTGATACTTCTGTCATGCAGCAGTATGCAGGATGTGTTGTTCATCAGACGTCAATGTCAGGCTGTAGTATATAGTATTTATTCTGCTGGTTGATCAGCTTGCTCTCAATCTTCATTAAACAGTCCGACCTCTTAAATGGTTTGTTGGGTTGCAGGATGAGCATTTTTTTTCTCTCAAAACTGATTGTTGCTCTAAATTGTGTGGTGGTGTGTGAGTAATAATTACGTGGAAGCAATATACAGTATTATGGTTTTGACATTTTCTTGGAGGGTGGCTATTTTTAAAACGCATTTTCAGCAGTGGTGCTATTTCATTCTGTAGAAATCTAAATTTGCTAAAAACCTAAGCCTAAATTTGATCCTAAGACTTAGGAAATACATGGGTTTTGCAATATGTAAAATCCTTGCCTTCGAAGAATAATTGCCTTGATTAGAGTGGCAGTTAAGGTGGAAGAATAGTGAGGAGAAAAGTACGTTTCCCTCTTATTCTAACCTTGGCCGTAGCTCTTCCTCTTCTCCCCCTGATACTGCATACATTACTTTGGGGAAGAGGAGGAGCCTGTGCTGCTTCTTTTACAATAAGAATTCTGTATTTACCCTATATGATCTTACAGGTTTTTTTTTTAAATGCTTTGTGAGTAAGGCTTGCTGAGCTTCAGAGGCAATTAACTGTCTTTCATTTCTGCGTGTTTTTATCTGGTAATGACCACCGTTGGCTAATGTATTTATTTATTTATTTTTGTCTACTTCTAGGGTTTCGTTTTTGCACTGAATGTAGCCAGGACGGATCCTTGTGGGCTTTGGCAGCCCTTGGAAACTGTCAAAGGTAAAAAAGAAATAATAATAAAAATCCAAAGTTCAATATTGCATCCCTGAAAGTTGGAGGTGGGAAGAACACTCACCTATACTAGTTTTTAACCACTTTTACAGTATATTGCTATTGTCATGTATTTTCTGGTGTGTTATTTCCTGTGGCTTTGCATGTGAAGGTTTTTCTGTAACTGTCTGATGGGATTTGTGTTCGTCAGCTACATTTGATGTGTGTGGTGGTTTTCTTTGAAAATGAATTAATTTCTGATGAGATTTTAAAGGCACTGGATTCTGTAAGTAATTGGCTCCTATAAGCAATGAAGTTAAATTGAAGCTTTGTTTTTCTTCTGGATGCTCTTGCTTTCATCTCAGTACCTCTCAAGTCTCATTTAAAATGACAAAAACTGTTCTGTTCTTTTCCCATATGTTAAATTTTGTGTTGCTTTTGTACAGTCATAACAAGCTCCATGTAATATGAAACTAGCAATTTGATGTAATATGGCAAGATCATTATTAAAAACTAACACTTCTGTGTCTGCATACTTAGGTAAGGACTAATGGTTGCAATGATGTACCAACGTGATTGTGTTAGTCTCATTTAAGATATAATTCATTACAGAACTGCCTGTTTTCAAGTATGGCATGTATACAAGATCACCATGTTTTGAAGAATGCTTGTGTGCACTTGTTTTGCTTTGCGCTCTTGAGAGAGTTTAGGATCTACCCTCAGTTTCTGCTTACTTTCTATAATGGTGACAGTTTGCACAGCCTTGCTCTTCTTTGAGGGTTTTCCTGTTGGCCATATCTGATTCAGACTTTGCAATTCATCGGAACCACAATTGCTTTTACATCAAAAAGTGCTTCTTTTGCAGCTGCTGTCTTCAGAAGCTTGATATTATTCTTTCCCCTATATCAAATGAAGGGCACTGTTTCCCTCTTCAGTCCGTATTTGATGTCTGCTGGCAATCAGAAGATGAACTGTTGAAAGACCCGTTTATTAGATAAAGTGCTTCATTCCGATAATGCCTTTTTGGTGACCAGCAAATTTGAAGACACCTGGATTCCAGCTCTCTCCTGCTAATAAGGGTTTTATGCTTCTGAACGACAGACCTTTCTATTTGGGGAACAATCAGCCTTAGGAAGTAGAAGTACCTTGTTCACTGGTATTACTTGTCAGGGCTTTTTGAGGATATGGAAGTTTGGCTGAGGTTTTATTCACTGGAATATGCTAGAATGCAGTAGTAAGGAGCTAGGTGCTCTGCACTGCTGCGGTTACGCTGAATTTCTGACTGGTAGCTGCATCCATCATCCTGATACCACTGAAAAAATTCTGTACCTCGTTGCTGCAGAAAGAGATGAAACACAAACAGGATGAAACATGAGACTGCTTTGGCCATATTACATTACGGTAGGAAAATACTGTCTTAGGCATTAAATTTCATAAGAATTAGGGTTCTTCTATTAGTATTTTTATCTTTGAGAATATTAGATTAAATTTCACAGAGTTAAATGAATACTGTGATTAACTTCAGATGTGCATCTCCTAGGTTGTATGTTGGCATACCTGTATGTTGCCATTGGTTAGACTTCCCTTGGAGTCCCTTCCACTCAGGCTGTAGTTGGTTAATTTTTTCAGAAGACCTCAGATGAAGCTGAGGGACCTTAGTCCTATTTGAGGTAGATTTGGTGGATATATGCAAGAGTGGAAGAAGAGGATTATCATACTGTGACCTTTTCCAAGACTGACTTCATTAATAGGTGTCAGATCTGACAGTCTAAACAGACTGTCTATAAACTTTGTCATTTCATCTCCAGGGAGTGTGGTCCATCCAATGTTGGAAATAACTAATTTAATGCTTGGGACTTTGGAACCTGTAGGGCTCCTTTCCGATCCTGTAGGACCCTAGTACAAGTTCTGATTGCCTCTTTGTACAAAATGAGCTACCCAGTGTGTGATCTTTAGCCCTCTGCTCAGAAGCTTAAGAGGCTTGTCACTGCCAGCAACGTGGAATAATTACGTTGGTTCTTCATACGCTGGCAGTAGGCAGTTGCTTTCTTGGCTGAGAAGTCATTCTTAGTTTAATGACTATTACAAAAGTCTGTCAGAGATGTTTTTTCATGGATTCAGGAATCCCCAGATGCCTGCTTCTGGCAATAAGGAAGATGGAAATGCAGCGTTCTTGTGCCAGTGGCTGTACGAATCCTTCCTTTCACAGGGAATTGAAGAAAGTATGTAAAAATGTATTGAATTGAACTCAGAGTTTGTTGCCTGATGCTTTGTCTCCTGAAAAAAGCCACAAGCAAGTGTCATGGGGAAAACTACAACAAAAGGACAGTGCTTAGCAAAAGCTTCCTCTTGCAATAACTCCTGCTGTCTGTGGCTTAAGGTCTTCTTATACCAGCTGTGAGGGTTTATTTTTTTTTAAGTGGATTTACTTTTTTTCCCCCTTGTGAATTTTTCCAGTAAATTGGGGCCTTTTTAAACTTCCAGCTTCTTGCCATTCCATGTGAGTGAGTTCACACTAACTGAGCGTGGTATGAAATAATAGAGTCTGTTTTGAACATCAAAGCTGGTAAAACGTGAAGAGTGAGTGACTCATCTCTTTTTTTCCTTCTCCATTGCGCTCTTTTCTGTTTCTCACTCCATTCTCTGAGCTTCGAATTGTTCTAGTGTATTTAGTCTGTCCTCAGTGGGAGAGTTTGCTTATCTTTGTTCTTGTAGACTTTTTCTGTTTATTTTTTATGTCTTAGTTCTGCTGACTTCTTGGGAGATCTCAGAAGATAAACATAGCAGTTTTTTCAGAAGTTCATCTTCAAGTTCTTCTAGCACTCTTAATGCAGCGACCACTCCTCACGGTGGTCTTGTTTTGACCTGACCTCACTTGATTTTATAAACTTCTCTGTTGTGCTTCTGGATGAAAGAAACCAAAACCATTTTGGCTGTTGGACCACAGCATGTCTGCCTACCGGGCTGTGGCACTTCCCACCTCCTCGAGTCCGACATTGCGAAGTCACACTAAGAAAGTCCCTGCCCCAGCGGCGCTGGGGTTGGTTTGGATGCAGAGTGTGGTCGAGTACCATGGACAGGGCCTGCTCGGAGCCTCTGCCCGAGCCCCTGCAGCGGGACAAGCAGCTCGCCTGCGGGGAGACACTCTTTTGGGGCACGAAGCTCTTGGTGTCCGTGCCTGATCCACGTCTTGCTTACCTCTCAGTACTTAAGAATTTTGCTTATATGCAACAGGCAGTGTATCTTAGCCTGCCTCTGTCACCCCCACGATTGTAACATCCCCACATTGTGTCCCCATCAGTTTCATTTGTTTCGCGGTAGAAGGGAATTTGCTCATCACATACATACTTTGTGCTTAGGCTGTTCACCGCTAATAGAGCATAACCCCAAATTCCTTTAGGAGTGTCTCCTGTGGCATTTCACTTGAGGTGCTTCTCCTTTTGTTTGCTTAATCTCCTTGTTAAAGTGATAAACTCCAGTCTTGTGTGTTAATCTTCTTCAGTGCTGTAGGGACAGGGTTGAAGTTTAGGTTCATCTCCAGTCATTCCTGTATGAATCGATCATGATGTACATACCTCTCTGATTTCACAGCAGAATTCCAGGAAGGAGGTGAAAGCTGAACACGTTTCAAGGGCATCGTTTTGTGTTATGCCAGAAATAATTGTTTTGTTGCGCTGTTTGTGGAGTTAACTTCCATGCAACGGATTAGGACGTGAAAGGGAAAAAATAATACATCTTCATATATTGCTAACTAGGTCTCAATCAGCTTTTTTCATACGCTTCAGAAAGTCTTGTCTGAATATTTGATGTGGTTTTTGACAAACACAATGTATTTGATTTGTTAGGTTAAATCTTGGCTTTGAGAAAGATCAGTACATTCACTAGAAGTCATGGTATTGATGCTATGGCCTGTTAATCTCCGGTTTATGAACTCTTAGCAAGCATTTTCTTATTTGGAGAGTATTATATCTATTATGCTTTGTGCTAGCATGTGAAGATGAAGGGTAAGATGGAGCAGTGACAATGCTAGTAAAATAGAACTTGATGTGAGGCAATGCCCATTTGGATCTATGAAGTCTGCGCTGGTAAAATCTGTGTGACTGTGCTATTGAGTGGTAACTTTCTTTAGAGAAGTCTGAACCTTTTGGTTACACCTACAAAAGAAGTAGGTTCTTTGTAGATACTGAATATTCTTGCTTAATAGTTCAGAGGTTCAACATTCACTGAAAAGGGAAATAAAGTTTTTGTGACTAAAGCTATGATGATAGTAGTAGTAGTAAAGTTTTTCTGAGGTTTCCCACACCCATACCTCACAGAGAGAATTTGGTGAGAGTTCTGCTTTATCCTCATTCCTCTTAACCCAGAAAAGGAAATTGCTGTAAGTCTGAAAAATGCTGCTGCTTTGCCTGAGACTCTCTGATATTACTGAACGTAGCCAGCAGTTTGCTGGTTATAAGGCATGATAAGCTGTAAGCAACATTTTGTGGTTTCAGGCCCTTTGTTTGTAGAATATTCTTCATTTCTTGTGACAGCTTAATAGCCATGAAAGATGTTGTCTACCTATGCATGACATAACAGAAGGCATTGGCAGCCTTACCTTATGAACAGCCTCTAACTTTGAAGCGGAAGAGGTACATTTAGGTGACAAATTTCCAAGCTTTCTCTTTTTGACCTCATTTCAATTTGCGCTCCCAAAGTTTCCAGGCTTGGAATTGCTGCAGTAAAGGATGACACAAGAGTCCGTATCTGAGGTGCAGATATGATGCGGAGAGACTTCAAATGGCATTTAAATGCTGGTGCAGTTGGGGAGATGAGCATCTTGAGAGGGACGGTTGTTAAAGGCCAAGGGCAATTTGCTTCATAGTTTTAAGCTTGGTGTGAGCGTTTGCTTTCCAAAGAACTGGAATATGATGGATCTGCTGATAGCAGAAGTTTTGCCTTCTTGACTCAGAGATTCCTTGCTGACTTTATGCTCTGTTACACCTGAAAGATGGCTTATTCTCTGGTGTCGAAGACATTCTAATCTTTGTAGGCCCCCTAACTGTATTGCATGTGTCCATGAGATAACATCCCAAATTCCAATCTTAAAAATTTGACTTTGTTCAGTTGGAACTGCACAGACAGTGTCTACCAAATTAAAAAAGTTACCAGGTAGTGTTGAATACTGGAAACTCTGGGAGCTGTTGGCCTGGGTTAAATTTGAAATAGTGACCTAGAGATGAATGACTTTATCTGTTCCCTGAACCATTTAGAGCCTAGAATATATTTATTTCTAAAATGAAGACAAAGAAAAATAAGAATTTAGAGGTACTCTGGGGTGGCTGGGAATCATAACAGTTTTTTAGACTAATAACCTTTGGATTATCTGTAAGCTGAATCTGTGATGCTTATATGATCACAAAAGCTATTTTCTAATAAGAAAGATTTGCTCAGCTCTAGTCTCTGATTATTCCTTGCTGACCATAGCTTTATTCAGTAAGCACAATGAATGCATAAAATACTCAGCAATGACATGTTTGAACATAAAAAAGAAAGCAGCTTCCTGCTAGGTGCTTTTTTCTCTTCATTAAGTAGAATTATATTTTATCCTGAGTAGCAGATGCCTTACTTGTTTGTGCAAAACATAAATTCAGTGAATACATGCAGAACGTGAACATTAAAGGTCGTAGCCTAGAGTCATTATTTATGTGCACTGCAATCTTGCATAACACTGTTAAAGGCAGCAAAATCATTATTTTAAAAATATATCTTTCTTTTTATCTTCTAGGCAGTATTTTGCATTTCTGCAGAGCTTTGCACAGATCCTGTTCCCATGCAAACTGATGAGGGAGAAATACTGGAGGAAGGCAGTCCCAAGGTCAGTGAGGTAAACACCGCTGTATTTTGGAGGAACACGAGCTTGCTTGGCTGAAACGGGGAATATGTGGAGTGAACGCTGACTACTGGTGGTATTTTTAAGAAATACCTGCATGCAAATAAATAATTTGTATGACCCTGGAGACATTTAAAAATAACGTTTTTAAAGGCTGTTAGGAACACAGGGTTTTTTGTAGCCTGCTAAGGATTGAAAAGTATGTCTGAGTTAGGGCACCACCAGGAAGGAAAGAGGAAACTCTTGAAAAGAAATACTAACTTTGATTGTGTTGTGTTTGTTAGAACTGGAAGGGCTTGCCAAGGTTTTTGTCCTTCCCACCTGCTCTTTCAACTAACTTCAAGAATTAGGCATGTGAGCCCTTAGGTGCAGGAATCAGTGTTTGTGGATTACTGACTGATTGCTTCTCATTACCCTGCACTTGCCAGCATGTGTTTTGTTGTGAGACTGGGTAGGGTGTTGCTTGTAAAGGTATCTATGATACTAGACATACCTTGTAGAGACAAGAGGCTGTTAAGTGTGCTGTTGAATATCGTGTTGGTTGTGTCCTGCTTTGTGCTACTTCCTGAAGATGCAGATATTGAATCGTGAATTACTTTGGTTTGCATAATGACACAGTGATTATCTTATTCTTCAGTGGGTTTATAAATGTATTTTATGGTCCTATCTCAACAAGTGAGTGTTAACTTGGCAACTGATCTGTTGTAAAATCCAGCTCCTAAATTTCGTGAAGGTCCAAATCATTGTAGGCTTGCTTGTAGTTTTCTGTTAACCTACTTAGCAGCTGAAAAAGGAAGTAACTGGAGGACTTAACATTTGTCATTATCGGACTGTAGTTTTCTGAGAGATGCTCTCATGGTTTTATGCTCTAATAGAACGGAAGATTGAGCTCTAGTCATCATCCTAGGAGGTGATTAATTATGTAAACAATTGGGTGGTTGTCCTATATGTACTTTAGGAACTGTGTTAATTTTAAATGGCTTTGAAGGAAGGCTCAATAGATTAGGAATTGACAAAGGAAAACATATCTGTGGATGTACCTGCATCCAGCCAGATGATCGAATGCTTCTCTCAACAAGGATATGATTACACAGATCAGCGGGGGATATTGATGAGAGGAAATGTCATAGTGTAATTAATTACCACTGTTAATAGCGTGGACAATGGTGCTTGCTTTTCATCAAACAGAATTAGTGTGTGTGTGGGCATATGTATTTGTGCATACACACCCAGGTCCGTGTGTGTATATATAGATACATAGCTTTTTTTTTTTTTTTTCTCCTTTTGCCCATGTGGCAGGAAATGGATTGGAGTAACTCTCTTGTGAAAGTTACTCTTTTCCTTCAATTAAAAGCATGCTTTTCTCTGGCATGCTTAATTCTGGGTGTAATGACAGATTATAATATTTATCCCACCATCAGGTGTTCCCAAAATGTACAGAGCTTAAATTCAAAACAAATCTTTTAGACTGACTAAGTGCGTATGTAATATCACATGAAATGATTATCATTTAGAGAAGGTAGGAGACTTGGAATCAGAGCTATATAGAATCAGTATACTTTAAGCAAAATGTTCTGATGACTACACCTAGTCCTTCTCCCCATCCTGTGACATACAGGACTAGTCACTGAAGTGTATCCCCCAGTGTTTCTTTAGTCTGTAAATGTTTGTCTTCCCTTTTTTGGGATGTTTTTATAGCTATAACAGTTGAAGGGTTTGTCCTAGAAAAACTTAGGCAACGTCTATTTCACTATGTTGTCTTGTATCATTAAATGATATACTTCATTTAACAACATCTACATGATCTAACGAGACATTTTCTTAAAGATATTTTTTGAAGAGATTTTTTAAAACTTCAGTAATGCAGCTGAGTTTCTTTCTTTGTGTCAGGACTATTTTTCCTCTCCTCTTCAGACAGATGACATGAATTTTTGGAAGGAATTAATTTTGTGCTTCAAATACATTAATATAATTATCTATCATTCATATTTTATTTGGATCTTTCATTTTTCCCCTTTTATCCATTCCAAAACACTAAGCTGCAAATAAATCCGAAGTATATAACTATTGTTATATTTATTGTTCAGATCAGTGGATCTTCTTATGTTTTTTTTCCAGGTGTTTATACCCATATTTAAGTACTAGGGATCCTTTTGGTCCCCCCTCAGCTTACGGTCTGTTCTCAAAATCCCGTAACTTACCTATTCTTTTGCCTTCACTAGAAAATGATTTTTTCTGAGCCTGTAAAAGATATCTACAAAAGTCATCATCTTCTAGCATTTTATTTCCTATGAACATTCAAGGAAGACATGGAACATTTGGGTGTATTAGCAGCTCCTTTGAAGCTCTTCTCTTAAACATTGTAGAATTTGAGCCTGCAGCTCATAGGTCTTATTATGAGATTATTTGCTGCTGATTAAGCACGTTCAAGCTACCCCAGTGACAATACGTTTGATTATATCATATATGAGGTCAGGTTAAGGCACCATTCTTAGCCTTTGTTCTGGATAATTCATTTCTAGCCAAAAACAGATTTGTGCAAGTGATAGAAAGAATGAAATTACTGTTTGTGGTGATTCATAGCATCTTTTATTGGCTCCACCAGAATAATTATAATGAAAAAGCAGGCAAGATTTCTCTCTTGAAATGATTTCTTCCGTTTTTTTCGAGGGCTTCAGCAACAGTAGTAAAGCTATTGTTGCAAAAGATGGAAGAAAAGATTGTAGAACTCGTTTTTATACCTTTTTGTTTATATCTTGTCACATAAGATCTTATATTTTTACCTAAGATCAATATGAAAAGCCACTTGGTGTTCAAAAAGCAAAGGCCTACGTGTTGGAATGCCTTGCTGTCAGCTACACTTAAAGTATTTCTCTCCAGTAGGAAATGGTCTTGCTGCGATTATGCTTGATACTCTTTTTTCTTTTCAGAATGCAAGATGCTCAGGGGTCTGGTAGGTATTTCCCCACTGTTCAGAATTTCTGTCCTATTGTTGTTAGAGGTAAGCTTGAATCAAGTATTCAGGGGTGTCAGGGTCATCTTGACAAAATTCTCCTTCTCTGAGGTAAGATGAACATCAGGATAGAGGGGTCTGCATACTGCAAGAATTATGGTGCCAGTCTTAAAATGTTTTTAAACATTACATGTGGCAACTCAATGTCATACAGCGGGGACAGAAGGATAACCTACACTTTATTCCTTGTATACTGGCTTGGTTGTACTCTGAGATAACAAGACCAAGCCTTGAGCTGAGAAGATTTTCTTCTGCTTTTGAAAAACAAAAGAACGTGCTTTGTGTAGAGTTGGGCAGGTCACTTTAAAGATTAAATACATGTGTGCTTCAAGCTAACGTTACGTGAAATACGATTACAAAATGTACTCCTTGCTGTCAGGCATCATGAGGAGTGGTGGTCTTGCTTGACTCCAGTTGGCCTGGCAGTATCGCTGAGGAAGTTGAACTTCACACTTGCCTTTGCTCTTGAAAATGGATCTTCAAGAAATTCATTTCTTGAAATGAATGACAGAAATCCAGTAGCAACTTCTTGGCAAGTAAGCTTAAAGAAGGTCATTGGTGGGCTCAGCCCTAACTTTTTTTCTGAACGTTTGTTTTCCCCACTGTATTAATGTATGCATTTTAAATTCATTTTGCAGTTCATTTATACTACTCACGCTGTTTCTAATGGTACAGTGATTGATACTGTATTAGTTGAGTTGTGCTGTTCTCCTTTTCAATTTTGCACACTTGCAAAGCTTCTACGGCTTTTTTGGGGGGTGTATCCTTTTTCCAGCAAAGAGTGGGTTCCTTCCACACCACCCTCACTGTAGGCCTGTTTTGGAGAACCCTACTGTGTTGGTAGCTTTGTTGCCTGTTTTATTTATTTTTTTGGTCTAAACTGGCTCCATTGTTTGATCTCACAGTTTCTTCCTTGTTGTCAGACTGTCAGAAAACACGCTTTCTGTTAGCATGACATCAACGTGGTGAAGACAGCAGGCAGCTGTCAATAGCACCCGTCTGATTCCAATAATCAGATAATACTGGTGCCACAGAGAGGGAGGAGAACGTGTACAAATGCGAGCTTTTTGTAATGTGATTAGTGTTTGAGAAAGTAGTTATTTTTGGCAGACGTAGGAGCTACATTTGACAGGGAATATTGGGTCTGTTTTATCCATGTGATCTGCAGGTAAATATCATACAGCAGTGTATCTTTCACTTTATAAAAAGTGGTGTGGGGGAGTCTGGTTTTCCTTTTTTCAGGATCTTCCCCCCCCACCTTCTTTTCACTTTTTTAATACAAAGTTTTTGCATAGAACCCAACAACCTCTGCTCTTCAGATTATGATTCTTTTTTCTAATTATGGTAGTTGATTTGCCATATTTGATTATTGAGCCTTTTCCATTAGCAGCGTCAGTACTCTGAAGATGTCAACAAGCTCTGAGCTTCTTGTTTGTGGCTGATTTTCTTTTCAGCTGCTTTCATCCATCTGTTAAGGAGTATTGCACAGGAAACACTTCAACTTTGTTTCTCAGTTGTTCCTTTACTGTAAAATATTGCAGGTGGAAGCTAAAAGTTTATGCCTGATTCGGAATATTTTTAGATTTCTTTCAATATTGGTCAGGGTTTTGAGCTTAAGTTCCAAACGTCTTTTTCAAAAAATGTGATTGAAATTTTCATGTCAACTGGTGTAAAATTTCTCCCCTCCCACCCTTGAGGTTCCTCATCTTTCAAACCAAAAGCCTGTGAATTTGCAGGGAAGAAGGAATGTTGGCCCACATAATAGATAAAAAGGTATTTATAAATTAATTTATGATGTTTTTATTTGGTGTTGTATATGAGAGAGGAGGAAAATAGTTAATTCTGTCCATTTTATCCTTCATATGATGAAAATCTAGGTACTCAAAGCTTTGCTGAAAAACGTGACTCCACAGTGTCCACAATAACATGTTTTACTCCTGATAGGTGCAGGGAAATGGGAAAGAAACATTTT